TAAGCCAAACTCACAGTCAGAGGACCTCCAACAATCACAATGACCTGGAAATCTTGGTTCGCATTTGATTCTATAAAACTTAAAATATGAAAGGGCAACCAGCAGATGAAGAATGTTAAAATGACAGCGACAATAATCCAGTGAGACCTCTGCCTTCTTGTCCTCTGCAGACGCCTGGCACGGATGGCTATGGCCACATAAGAGACAAGTATAACCAGGAATGGAATGAGAAAGCCCATAACAAAGCGGAAAATGTTCAAACTAAAGTGATTTTCAGGAGCCATAGTGGAAGGATAGATGCAATAACTTTTCACATCATTATTACTCACAAAATCATCATATTCATAGCTGCTAAATTGTTCCACTGTACGAAAAGTAGCATAGGGGGTGCTGCAGATGCCAGCAGTCACCCAGATTACAACACAGGTGATCTGAGCTTTACAGACAGTGCGCTTGTTTTGTGCCCACACTACCACCCAAATGGACAAGCAGCGATCCACACTTATGGCCATGAGCAAAAAGACACTGGCAAACATGTTGATTACATTCACCAAGGAGCTGAGTTTGCACATGAAATTTCCAAAAGGCCACTCGTCCCAATGAAGAGAGACTGTAGTGAAAATCAGGAAGGTCGTGAAGAGGAAGTCTGCAATGGCCAAGTTGAGAAACCACACTGAGTTGACTGTTCTCTTCATCTTGAAGCCTGTCACGTAGATGACCAGCCCATTGCCAAGAGTCCCAGCTACAGTTATCAGACAGTAGATGACCAGGGAGAATGTCTCTATGTGTCTTTTGGCCACTTCCAGTCCAGATGAGTCATTTACGGTCATCTTATCTGAAAATTAAAATGAAAATAACTGAAAATAATGTCAGCATGACACTGCAGTGTAGACCTAGAGACCAAGAAATGCCTACTCTGAGCTCTAACATGTTATATGCAATAGTGACTTTTAGTACAGGAGATTCATGCTGGACAATGTTGTCACTCATCCACAGCATGATTCTAGTAGGTTCTAATGAAGGTCAAAGCAGATGGTCCCTTGTCCTGAGCCTGGTTTTGCTAAAGGTTTCTTCCTCATGAGAGAGTTTTTCCTTTCCACTGTTGCCTTCATGCATGCTCAAGATGAGAGCCTGCGATGAAGTTAAATTCAAAGCAGCCTGCTCCTCAGATAGTGTTAACTTATTATTTTTATATATGAATGCTCTATTTCGTATAGGCTTCGCCCTTTAAGAGCTGTTGCTTAGTGGGTTTATCCCGTCATGCAAAGCATTGCACTGAAAAATTTAATCCACGCCCACCTGTTGTGTGGGCCCCACCCGGTCCGTATAAATTACGTTAAGAGCGGGTAATCGGCTCCCATTTTTCTTCAGCAAGCTAATAGCACTGTCAGAAGAACGAAGAAGGGAAATTGTCTAGCTTGACCAGCTCAACCTTTGTTGGGGCTGCCTGTGGCCCCGCCATGCCAACCTCCTGCCGCCCCGATGAGTTTTCTTTCCCGAGGAGAAGCAGACGAGCAGTCTTGTTTCAAGGTAAGCGCCGAGGAATATTTCTCAGTGGCGGGTCGCTACACGCTGGACGACGCCATCTTATAATTTTCCTTTAATCGCCAACTCTCGGAGCAAATCGGATGGCTCCTCCAGGACAGGCGACGTCAGCAGCAGCCCCCGCTGCTCACTCCCTCCTAGAGATCTAAAAAAGTTAAATCTGGTCCTCTGGACATTCAAAAAAACAAAACAAAGCAAATCAACAAAAAAATGTAGAAACGTTTCGTCTCTCATCCGAGAGACTTCCTCAGTCTGAGGAGCTGTATTCAGCTCAGTCTCTTAAATAGCACCGTCTCAGGGTGGATCAACCAGTTT